ATGGAAAACATACAACAACATGGAACCACTAAACCACCGAGGCCGTCGAACGAGCGAATAATATGTCTATAATATTTGAGGATTTACATCAATAACTCTAAGAACACTTTATTTGATCATGGCTTGGTGATATAGTAGAAATCTCGGAATATTTTTTGAAAGTGTATACTCAAATCTAAACGAAACAATTATTTTGAATAATGACTGATGTCTGTAATTGAGGATAATCGAACATATAAAATAAAACGGTGATTGAACGTAGAACAACCTCTTTCTTTATTTTCTATGAAGTCGGTTAAAAATAGTTAAGTGTCTCTCGCTGAAACTCAGTGCAGGGATTATCTCTAATAAGACATCTCTATTTCCTTGTAACCTTAAACCACATGAAGGAATTTCGTTTCTACGGTTCTTTTTTTTGTGTACATAAAATGTACATACGAAATTATCCAAAATCTGCAGATGTGCCTTATTTGAAAGTGTGCGTAATTTATGATAATAACAACTTGTGTAAAAAAATGTTATTTACCGTTGTAGTATTCTTGTATTTCAAGTACAAATAAGAATATGTAAGTCAAATAAAAACAAAAACATATTTCTCCTAATACAATTTTATTTAATTAGGTAGACACATACCATACACAAACAATAAGATAGGGTAATTAATATATGAGGCGACTATTTTCTTTGTTTCTATTTAAATTCATATTTCGTGCCAAAAAGTTCACGTATGGTATTCATGTTAAATTTGGCAAGATAAATATGTTTTGTCATAGTTGTTTATTATTAATAACTTACTAACAAGAACATAAAAAGACTAGTAATTTAAACTGCTGGCAAAATTATCACAATGAGATCTAATTTTAGTCGATATATAATATTTTTATACATGCAAAACATATATCTACGCTGGTCTTAAATTTCGTAGTAGCTGGTTAACTACAAAGAATATATTATATATATCTATAAAATGATGAGTAGTTGATTATCAACTTTTTTAAACCAACCGGTGTGTTTTTGTAAAATTTAATATATAATTGAATATATGTCACGAATTTATGATTAAATTAAAAAAAAATAAAGAATATACAGATATGTATATGTAGGTAGGAATTATTCAAGTCAAATATCTTCTGCTAGTAAATAATAGTATATAATACAAAAGTCATTAATAACAATATCACTTCAGGGCAAAATCTTTCTTTTGATTTATTTACTACCGATCACCTAGATTTTTCAGATTAATTCTTTATTACTAAGTAAAGGTTATGTTAACTCGGAAATATTTGCCTTATACATATTATTATGGCAAAGTAAGCAGTAGGTATTATACAACCTGTGATTATGCTTATAGAATTATCTCCAGTCTTGCTGTTGACAGTATGACAACCGGTTTTCTTGAGGCTAATATTCAGACAAGACCTGCTGTGGCTGCATACGCAATTGACGCTTTCTCATTAAAATGTCTCTGAATATAAATATAAGAAGATAGACTAGATACGACTATCAACTTAATAATAATAGTAAGTTAGTTGTTGTAATACTCTTAACACTTACTAGATTTTTAGTATCCACAAAGTATATTATAATAGAGCAAGAAGTAAAGTATGAAAAACAGTGTATGTACAAGAAGTGACAATTATTTTCTTATAATGTTTCTAACATAGTTTCAGCCTTAATTTTAACTGTTGCGGTAATTTCGAAGTCATAAAAAATTTGTTATTTATTATCGAAACGGAAACTCTGGTTACTGACTATAGGTATCAGTAGACCTAATTACACAGATTATTATTAGTAGGTATTTTCATTGCTACAAGTAGAATAATAATGATATATGTTGTATTTATCAATACATTTTAGAATTCCCTGTGCAAATACTCTTTGACGATTAATTTCAATACTTAATCTTGCATAGTATTTGTAAAATTCGTAACGACAAAATCAAGCATGATACTGCGAGGGTAGCTTCTTAAGTTGTATTTAAAAGAAACACCATTAAAAAAACAGCACATTAGACGTTATTACTTACTTTTAAACTTATTAGATAGCTCCATGAATTAGAACCGGACAATCAGAACCCCAAACTATAATATAAACTCACGTTGAGTTCCAAGAATAGAATTAATTTCTAGAAATAATTTCTTTACATCATGAGCTGCCTATGGCGCCGTGAGGCGGCAATAAATATACATTATACAGTAGATATTTAAGTACAATAAACTCTTATTAACCTTAGATGCTGAAATTATCGAACATTTTTTAAAATAGTATTTAATACAAAACTTTATATCAACCGTATAAGGTAGAAAATGGTTCGATTATCTAAGTCTCGTTACAGTGAATCACCTTACCCCATCTACTGAAGACGGCATATTTAAATGCATTGAATATCACATGAATTGTGTATTTTCCAATATTTATTAGTCAATAACATTTAGAGCGTATGACAAATAAGGTAAGGACAGATATAGAAAAATAAATGTTTTTGTGCATAATTTTGTTTCAAAGAATTTATATAAAACAGGAGATTTTCTTGAGTATAAACAGAAAGATAGATTAATTACATTTTATTTCTATGTTTCTTAAATCGTCGCCGTCTTATCATATACTATAGATCGTGTAAAGTTTGTGAGAATGGATAGATGGATGTTTTATTTTTTCACGCAAAAACGTCTGAACGGATTTTGATGCAACCTTACAGATATATAGAATAGATATTCCGTAAATTAGGGGAAATATAATAATAAATGTCAAATAAGTGTGATGATATTAGTAATGTAATAAAAATTTAATATTTTGTGAGAAATTTACATGATACCTTTTCAATTCTGTGTTAATTCATTAAGTCATTTGATGATTCTTTCCAATTGATAAGAATTAAATCCCCATATTAATTTCACCCAACTGATTTCAATTGTTATATTTAAGGTAAATTATTAGTTCACGTAAATATATATCCTTATCCTTACTAATATTATAAATGCGAAAGTAAAGTCTCGCTTTCACGTCAAAACTACTGAACAGATTTAAATGAAATTTGGTACGCAGATAGTCTAGACTCCGAGGAAGAACATAGACTACTTTTTAATGCGAAAAAAGGGTTGAAAATGGAAATACAAGGTTATCTTTATGCGGTTGTATACATATAGTGTTGTACATATACGTCATTTTATAAGCAGCGCGCATGCGACGTTGCGCGCGGAACTGATTATTGTCAATCCGTTGTCTCCTTATAAATTTAAATATATAAACGCTTGCTCTGGCCAGAAGAGTCAGAGATATGGTTCGCGCAAGTAGAGTGACAGTTTGCAATTTCGAAAATCACATCTATTGATTTAACAAAAATTTATTATGTTATTGGCTAACTGGACCACCAATTTTCAGAAGAAGTTAAAGAAATTTTTAGACTGTTTATTAAATATAAATAAAGACGACATTTAAAATTTGTAAAAACATTACCGTTCAAGGGGTAAAATAAAATAGCAAATAAAAGTATTTATGGAAATTCGTCATGTTGAAGCTAGAACTATGAGACTTTTTTCATTCGCTTTTTTGTGTTAGTTTAATAACTACCGTACTGATATTATTAATGTAAAAGTTACTCTGTCTGTCTGTCTGTTTCAATTACATGCCAAAACTACTGAACTGATTTAAATAACTGTTCAAAAAATATAAATATAAAAAGGGTTGTAAGGGGTGAATGGGGAGAAGGTTGTGTGGAATTATTGTCATTTTTAAAGCTAGAAGTTTGAAACAGATTTTTTATTTTAGGCTGTTGATTGAATTGTATAGAAATTTTCATTTTTGAAGCTAGGGCGATGAAACTTTTTTGGGTTTGATTTTGTTTGATTGGGTTAGATTACTCAATATTTTGCTCATTATTTGGTCAAACCACTATTTTACACGGACGAAGTTGCGGGTACAGCTAGTTGTATATAGTAATAATAATAATTTAAACTTTTGATGTCTTAAAGAACATAACTAAGTGTTAGAAAATCTTGTAAACTCCCTACGCACGTCCATCATTTTCGCGTCGATGAGCTAAGGGATTCCTAGTTAATTGTAATTACATTTCGTCGAACCCTTCCCGCATTCCATCTTTGTCGACATATCTAAAGGGAATTTCGCTTCCACTTCTCTAAGACTATTGACGTACTATTTCGTTTGGTATATGATTTAAGGAATTATTATTCATAAAGTTAACAGTGTTATGTAATTATCGACAAGAATATTAAATTGTGTTAGTTAATCTTCTTCTACATACTTACGTTGTTCAATTTGAGTTAAGTATAAATAGATATCTGAACTGTAAATTTAATTCAATCTACTTCCATATAATTCGTTACATTTGGGAACGTTGCATTGTATTAGACTGTATTGGACGTCTAAGTAATAAATATCCACTTGGAACTATAAGTAGTAATTGTATTTAAATGATGAATTTGTATTCTTTTACATTGACACTTCGAAATTATCATCAGATGGGTTATATGATTAATTATGGCTGCTGTGGTATAATTCATCATATATATATAATGAATTATACCTATATATATATATATATATTAATTTTATTTTCCATTCATCATAATACCAGGTAACATAGATTCATGAGTAATTATGGGATGGTTCTAAGCATAAATCTATGAAGTAATTTGAAATAGTGGAGTAGCAATAAAAATTTTAATGTATTAATGAGTCTTTAGGAACGGTAATCCATGACTGCATCATAATATATGTGATATAAATAGTTCAGCTAATATTTACTGTTGAATGTAAAACACTTTCCATCGAGCCTGCTTTTTTGTGTGAAATTCGGGTAGCATTGTAAAATATGTTTTTTTTATATACAAAAAGATTCCTCCTTTCTTCGTATTCATCATTTAGTTTTTTTTTAATAGATTTAATCTAAACACGATGAAATTAAGGGTAGGTTCCTTAAATGTACAAACATATAAAATGAAAGACCATCAATCCATTCTCAATGTTTTATATTTCAACTCATTAATTTTTTGCTCTATATAATATCTATACAAAATTAAACATAGTTTCACTACACTTAGTGTTAAATAAACGTTACGCCATGATTTACATTGAATTACAACATTTCAAATACTGTTTTCATAAATAGCAATCACTTTAAACTTAGAAGTAACGAAGCGAAGTAGTTTTACATTTGCCCAGCTCATAAAATGTACAACTCTTCGCTGTGATACCTTAATTTAAAAGATATTATGAGTAAGAGATCAACATAATATGAAACAGTCTTAATTATAATATTGACTAGAATATCATTGGTACTTATAATATAAAATACTCTGATTAAAACCAGATAAGAGGAGGGTAAAATTTAACAAGTTATCAATTGATCACAGTTTAATTTTAAGGATCAAACAGATAAAGGAAGAAGAGTTACAAGTGAGAGGTGATTAACATATCTAGCGACCGAATAGAAACCATGAATAACATTTTTTAATCACATACAATAAATACTATCTGATTATTATATATGTACATATAGCTTACTTACTTGAAATAACATTTAAAATTTTATATAATATTTAAATTTTTATTTGACACGTAAAATGCAATACGTTGTACTTATTAATAGGTGTTGAAATTTATTTAAGGGAGCGGATAATATTAATTTATAGGTACGTGTGGATATGTTCGGCGAAGTTGTTTAATACTGCTGTCTGTCGTCCTCAACTGACCCGTTAGCTTTAACTTCCTTGGGCACAGCCGGCTGAAAAAAATATTTCTTTGTCAAACGAACATTTTTATATGATAATACTAATCTATATTTAAAGTTACATATGACGATTTTGGTCGGTATAAAACATTAGTACAATAGTATTTGAAAATAATATGAAATATCTAGTAACTTATAAATACGAAGTGGCTTTACAAAATAAAAATAAACTAGACATCAATGAAATTATTATGACCCGAGAGACATCGGTAGGTTTGTCCTTTCATTTCTTGTCATATTGAACTCGATCAGTATAATGGAAATAACCAATATCACAAAACTTATAAATACGAAGTGACTTTACAAAATAAAAATAAACTTGATATCAATGAAATTATTATGACCCGAGAGATATCGGTAGGATTGTCCTTTATAATTATATCGTAGGTACCACAAAAATAAACAAATTTTCATGCCTGTGAATTGAAAACATGATTCTTACACCTGTTTCAATTATATTTTTTATTATATAACATAACAAATGCCATAATAATACCGCATCCTTGAGCTAAAGGATGCGTGGTACATAGTATAAGGTATTGGAGAGAAAGGGAAATATATGTGGAAATATATAACTGATAACCTCTTTGTTACCAATGTACCATGTAAGTCTGACCTCCACGCGCTTCCACCTAGAAACTACGATAAATTCCTGGTGAATTTTTCACGATGGGCTAACTGACCCAACTGCATGCTTCCCATCGACATCATCTTATCCCCTACTAGTACTCCGCCAGCATAAACCGCTAGCGCAGGCGGGTGCACCATTTGATTATCGTCCATAAAAAAAAGTATACGGTATTAATCTTAGTAAGTGGCATTTGTGCAAGTATATATAACAATAAATGAAATTAATAAATGCCTAAATTATGTTCATACGATAAAATTATTACAGGATATATTACAAGTGTTTACATACTTCATAGGGCATTAAGAACATGTTGTTGTCTGATCGGCGGCCGAATCTCAGGCGCATTGATGGAGCACGGACGTCGCGGTCTTGTTCCTGAGAACATAAGAGTATATAAGAAAATCCTTGTTTTGTATTGGACACAGTATCGATGCGGTACTATATTATGTCATTATAAAATCTATGAGAATAGGATACTCTTAGTTAGACAACAGTAGTGTCTGTCTAATAATTTTGTTATAAAATCAATATAACATCTACTAATACTATAAAGACAGAGCGGATTTTCTTACAAAGAGTGCAAGTTTCACAACTATTGCACCAATGTGAGAATATTTTGCACTGTTTAAGTGGTACATTATTCCATAGTAAAATATATTATATTATATATATATATATATATATAAATATATATATATATATCCTTTTTCACTTGTTGATCCGGAGGCCTTTTGTTGATCTAATGCCAGATGACCATGACATGACCATATGTAAATGTTGCTCCGTTTTGAGCCACAACTGTCACGACGAGTAATAATAATAATTAAGCGATTTATACACGATTTTATACAAATCCACCTTTTTGGCATACGACCACTTCTTGATCCAATTCAAACGGGCCAATCAGGGTGCAGCATTTGCCAAGGGCTTCCTCATTGGCACGTTTGGGCTACTACATTATGGCTACAGTAACTTAATAATGTCTAGCTAGTATTTCAAGAATAATAGTCTATCTAATCTAAATATTTATAGAAATCAGTCTGGAGTAACGTGACTCCAGATCAAACCTCAATACTTGTTATTTTTTGGACGGGAATCTTTTCTTTTGTAACAACGTTACTGAGCGAATGAAGAGAAGACGTAACGGCGGATCCAGGGGGTAGCGTCATGGAGGTCTTGGGAGTCATGGGGGGTCATAACTCTCCTCCCCATTAGGATTTAGGTAGACTACTAATTGAACTAAAAAATAATGAAACAGCTAAATTTTTTGCACGATCGGAGTGTTGGTGCAGTGGTATTAATTATAATTAAACATTGTTACTTAAAATATAACAGTTAAAGTACTATAACACTAAAAGCAAAATAAGTATTTTCAAAATACCTTTACAAAAAAAAATTACTTTTTGAGTTTTTGTCCAAACCTCAGATATTTTATTTATTTTAGGTATATCAATCATTACATAGTATAGTATAGTATAAAACAAAGTCGCTGTCGCATCTAACAAGTACATAAATAAAGAAAGAAGACTTTTTGGCTCTGAACATATTTCAAAAATCAATTACTTTTGTTAATCAATTTATATACTCGTTCTTATTTCATAGTACTTGTTTTGATCCGAATATATACAGATACCGTAACGGTCTATTAATTATGAATTTATTATACCTAACCTAGATATTTTATTTTGACGAAACTCCGTGTAGTATCCGATAAGGGTATGCGAACCCTAAGTATTATTTCAAAATGGCCAGTAATTTCGAAGAAATAAGCCTTTGAATTTCAAATCAACTTACCAAACGGTCGCTCAAGGTTCGATTCCCGCCATAGAATTTTTTTTATTATTTTTTTTGTTTTGACTTTATTTTATATTTTAAATTAACTATTTTAATAATTAAATGAATTTAATCGAACAAAAAGTTGTCAAGTATTAAATAAATTTTAATTTACATTAACTATTATACTTTCTAAATTGTAAAGCAGCTAACAATTATAGTAAGATCTTATAAATAATTAACACAACAACATTTCAAATGTATTTTCTTTATTATTACAAAATATTGTTTGTGCATGCTATAATAGTTAATGTCACTTAAAATTTATTTAATATTTAACAACTTATTTTTATCGATTAAATTCATTTAATTATTAAAATAGTTATTTTTAAATATTACTTTAAAAAAAAACAAAAAAAAGTCAATGGTGGGAATCGAACCCGGGGTGTCTGTGTGGTAAGTTGGTACACAGGTACACTCCTAACTAGTAAAATTAATTTAATACTTAACTACGTTTTTATTATAAATTAATAATCGTATAAATTAATTTAATTATTAAAATATTAAATTAAAAAAAAACAAAAAGAAGTAAATAACAATAGTCAATGGTGGGAATCGAACCCGGGGTGTCTGTGTGGTAAGTTGGTACACAGGTACACTCCTAACTAGTAAAATTAATTTAATACTTAACTACGTTTTTATTATAAATTAATAATCGTATAAATTAAATTAATTATTAAAATATTAAATTAAAAAAAAAACCAAAAAAATAAATAATAAAAAAAAAGTGTAGGATTGGAACTCAGAGTATCTGTGTGGTAAATTGGTACACAGGTACACTACTAACTAGGCCATATTGGTGTTGTTTGTTATGGTGAAAAAACTAGTATATATATAAGTTACACAGTTAATAATTATTATTAAGTTTTAAAGTGGTTGAATTTTGCGTAGAGTGTTTTTATACGTTATTTCTAATTTACCATTTATTTTAAGTTTTTTAAACTCTATTCATCGAGACCAATCTAATGAGTCCAAACACGATATTTCTGCTGTAAGTTTTCGAAGAGTATGTTCATCATCTGATAATACTGGTGCCAGTATGAAGTCAAGGTTAACAGATAACTAATTACTCTTATTTCGTCAAAATCTTTAGATTACGTATAATAAATTCATAATATCGCTACCTATTCGAATCAAAACAAGTATTTTAGGTACTTCATGTACTAGTATATAAATTCATCAACACACAAGTAAATGATTTTTTAAATAGAATAGAATAGAAAGAAAATCCTTTATTCAAATAAACTTATATTGAAGCACTTTTGAATAGTCATAACATTTTTTTTTTTAATCTACCGCTCATTCGGAATGCTGTTTCATCACAAGAAGAACAAGCAAGAAACTTGTGTGTTGCTCTTTTAAATAATTTATTCTTACTTACAATTTAAGTTTAAGTGTGTGAATACAAACCACCGATTAGCACTAATTCAATTAAATACTCAAAAAGAAAAAAATATTGAATACATAACCAACTGGTTAAACAATTAATAAGAGGAAATCAGTCATAGTGATTAGAGCAGACCAGTCCCTACAAGCAGCACCCGTTCACGAGTATGACGGATGAGGCAGCCATCACTGCGCTCGACCATATTTTAGGGAGCCCAATGACCCGGCCCACCACGCCGCCACAAGTCTGGACATTTTAGTGAGCATGACTACTCAAAACACCAGACCACGTCATAGCTACTCACAATTGCCATCTGATGTTTATAGTATTCACATTTCACATAAGAATGCATGCGGCAATTAATACAAAACCCGCTACGCTTTCATATTTCTAAAATAATTGAATCAAGAAAGCAATGAGATAAACAAATTATAACGTTGTATGCTAATAAACTAATTATTTACTTGATATGTTGTCTTCTATGAATTCGTCTATCCTGTAATAGGCTTTCTTACATAAAAATTGTTTAATATAAGATTTGAATTGCCTCTCTGTCAGATTTAGTGCAGATTCTGGCAGTTTATTATAAATATATTCAGAGCCAAAAAGTTTTTGTGCATTTAAAAAATTTTGCTGATACGGAGTCACTAATGCAGGAAATTGTTGAAAACATATATATCGAGTACAGGTACTATCGACGAATACTTTATCTAGGGAACACGCGGGAACGCGGAACGGCAACATGTTGCCGTTCCGCCACGATACCGTTATAGTGGTAGAAAGAGAGAGACAGTGGAGTCAGCAAATGTATCTACGGGTCGTGGCTGGATCAACATAAATGTGCAAAAAAGTGCGCGTATATATATATATATACACTTGTCTTTAATTCAAAGGAAATATAAATAATGAACGCATCACATTTAAAACAGTAATAAGTACGTAATATTATCACATTATCAAACAGAAGTACGTAATATTATCACATGGTAACAGCACGTATTATGGCAAAAATAAACATCGGCTGATTTGAAAAGATTTATTATAGTAATAATAGTAATCTCAGCACAATTCACACAGCTTCATCTAGACCCAAGTTAAGCTAGCTGAACATTGTGTTATGGGTACCAGACAACTGATACAAATACAAAGATTTTTTTCGTAAATGAATATATATTATCTATACATAGACAACACCCAGACCGTTACAAACAATCATACTCATGAATACAAATGTTTGCAGCGTGCGAGGAATCGAACCCTCGACCACCAAGCAGGAATCAAAGCGGTGTGCTAGCTAAATCGCTAGACTACCGACAACTAGCTGTACACGCGACTTCGTTCGCGTGGAATGTAACTTCTTAAATAATAGTTTTTGACTATGAGCATATGAATATAAATACGGTACATGTACTAAAATTTATTTTTATACAATTTTTGTCTGTCTGTCTGTCTGTTTGTTCCGGCTAATCTCTGAAATGGCTGGACCGATTTTGATGGGACCTTTTTTGACAGGTAGCTGATGTAATAAGGAGTAACTTAGGCTACTTTTATTTTAGAAAAATAAATTTAAATTCCACACGAACTAAATCCCGTGTACAGCTACTCATCAATAAAAAAAACACGTAGGTATCTCTAATATATTATACACTAGCTATTCCCGCGACTTCGTCCGCGTGGTTTTTAACTTTATTTTTCTAAAATAAAAGTAGCCTAAGTTACTCCTTATTACATCAGCTACCTGTCAAAAAAGGTCCCATCAAAATCGGTCCAGCTATTTCAGAGATTAGCCGGAACAAACAGACAGACAAAAATTGTATAAAAATAAATTTTAGTATATGTACCGTATTTATATTCATATGCTCGTAGACAAAAACTATTATTTCAATATTAAGAACAACAGGCTTCAACATTCTCAAGTACCACAAAAAAGATGTTTTTTCTATCGAATAAACCGTTTTTATTAAAAACAAGCTGTTCCCGCGACTTCGTCCGCGTGGAATTTAACTTTATTTTTCTAAAATAAAAGTAGGCTAAGTTACTCCTTATAAATCAGCTACCTGCCAAAAAAAGTACCGTCAAAATCGGTCCAGCCATTTCAGATATTAGCCGGAACAAACAGACCGACAGACAGACAGACAAAAATTATAAAAATTGT